ATTTGTACTCTAAATTTACTTTCGAACAAAAAGCACACTTTGTTTTGTTTTCTTATTTATGTGCTTACATTCATACTTTAAAAGTAGTTTGTCTTTGGTTTCATTGCTTTATTTTGCCTTGTTGACTTTATATTTTCACATATTTGAATACATTTGAAGGATTTTAGTTACGAGTTAAATATTATTGACTTGATCATTACTATACAAATCCACCTATGATCAAGTTAATTTTGTCTGGGCCACTGGATGGCTGGGGCTCTCTTCCCACACAGGTCCCCCGAGGCTTCTACTGTGGGATCCTTCGAGCTTTTCTCGGGTCCCTTGGGAAGGATGTGGGAAGCCTGACTCTCATTCACAGGTGTGAGAATGCATCTGCTCTCCCTGCTGCTTCTCTAGTCTGGCAAGGGGTGATGTTGGATCAGCTGCAGTGAAGCTGATCCTGTGTAGTTCAGGGCTCCAGACCTGAGAGGTCATAGTGGGTCAGCTGAGGCAAACTAGGAACCGAGACTACTGGGTCCCTGCTGAGCCCCCTCTCCAATGCAACTTCACTAAACAGACTCTAGGCAGTTCCCTGATCAGCAGGGAGACCCGCCATGGTGCTACTCCCACCCCCTCCCAGCTTGAGTTGCCGTGTCTGTGCGGAATGTGCGGGGCCCTGGGGCTCTCTCCTTTACCCCTTGTCCATGTGTAGGGGTCTTCCCCAGGTACCTTCCCATCTTGGCGGGTGGAACTCCCCATTCCCGTCTCCTTTGCTCTGAGTGTCTCCCATTGGTTCTCTAATCGCCTACAATGCTCTCTGTAACAAAGTCCATCTGTAGGTGAGCATCTACTTGCAGTTTTCAATCCTCTCCCAGAGAGCGCATGTGCAGGCTACTTCTAGTCCACCATCTTGGCCCCCTTTCCATGTAAATATAGTTTATATTAGTCATGTTATTGGAAAAGCAAATGTTTGGTCCCCTTGAGTAAATTGCAGAAAAACAACTAACCAAACAACCATCCTTGTGAATCAATTTTTATGTAGGTATTCTGAAGTTTAAATGGTCTGTCATAAAAAAGAATTATTTTTATAATAAGAATAAAAGTTATGTAACATGATTTGAGTGTTATTATACTTAAGAGTTTACTAAGCTTGAAATCTTAAAATCATCTGTGTGGACTATAACTTTCTTAACCTGATATTTGTAGGAACTAATATATTTAATTGTCTTTGGGAAATGTACTGAGTAAAATTTATGTAGAATTAATAATTTACAAAGAGTATAATAATTTCCTCTTCTTCATAGATATAAATGCATGTTCCAAATTGGTTATTATTGGTACATTTACATATTATTTATAAATATATTTTGCAGATTTATGATGGAAAAGATAAAACGACTCATCTACTAGGTGCTTTTACCGGTGCATCTATGCGAGGACTGACACTTAGTAGTACTTCAAATCAGCTCTGGCTAGAATTTAATTCCGATTCTGAAGGGACAGATGAAGGCTTTCAACTTGTCTATACCAGTAAGTATTTTGGAAGAATAAAATGGTAAAACACTGATACTGAACGTCTATTAAATGATTACAATACACCAGATGAAGCAATATCCAACATTTTTATAATCAATGTGCAGTTTATAACTCCCTACTATATATATAATTTTATTTCACCCTAACAACAACTCACATAAGTTACAGGTATTCTGTAAAATGCTATTGCCATTTTACAATTGAAACAACTAAGGTACAAAGAGGTTAAGTAATCTGTGACTTTGGGCTTTTTTATTTACATATTTTTTAAATAGCGGGATTCTCTCCATCCAATATTATGAAATACAATTAAGATTTTTGTGAAATGGAAATTCATTGTTTGGGCTCCCATCTGTAATTGCAAAATGCACACAGTTCCTATTCAGTGATTATCGTTGGTCAGTCATTAATGATAACTGGACGGTTTCAGGTAATTTCACACTAAAAAGTAGCTAAAGCTTTCAGTTTGTTGTGCTTTCATATGAATAAATTCAAAGAGACCTATTTTATTATACTAAAGCCAGATATTTTGACAATTAAATAAATAGAAGTTTACATAATGAGAACCATAGTTATGTGGGTTACATCAATTATTATATGAATTAAATGAATTTATTTTATCAGTACCATAATATAAGAATAATATAACAGACTAATTACATCAAGGAACAATAAATTGTATTCAAATGATATATTTATTGAGTTTCTACTCTGTTTAAGACACTGTACTAGGAATGTAAAGTGCTCATAAGACAGGTGTTACTGGCTGTGTTTAGTAAATTTATAATGTATCAGATCAAATTATTTCTTGGAAGTTCAGAGTACTCATTAATACTGTATAACAAAATAAGTTAAGTAGCAATATTCAGAAATGTTTACTGCTAGAATATCTGAGAACATCTACTGACCCATATAAATTTTCTCAAGAAGTCAGATGAATGGAAACTATTATAGAAACTAGGAAGTTAAAAAAATTATTGATTCAAAAGTCATTTCATGGGATCTTAAAGGGAATTTGAATCAAGTTATCAATTGTGAAGACAT